ACCGCAGAGATGAAGGAGAGACAGTGGCGTCTTTTAGGACCACCTCGGCCTGACAGTAAGCTGCTAAGCCCTGGATTGTTTAACATCACAGTTTCCCTTCGCTGGCCCTACTGGGAAATAATACGTCGCTTTTAACAGACGCAAAGAAGTGTGGATATAGAGGCAGCCACCGTGTCCAGCTGAAACAAAGAGAGGTTTGAACTCCCGTGCCCAGATGGAGTGAGTGAGTGCGCAATAACAATACTGACGACTGATATTTCTGAAACATGGAAAAGCGGAGAAAAGGGAAGGCTGACAAACATTCACCTGATGCCAGACCATTACATTATGAACCTATTATATTTACTGGTGAGGAACACTCAGCGGTGCAGGAAGCAGCTATAACATTGTTTTTCCCTCCTTTTAAACAAGCCTGTGTTCTAATAAAACTTTCGGGGGGTTCAAACCCGCAGATCCACTCCATTTTGTTGCAGAGGGAAAGCTTAGTCACCTCAGCCAGCCTGCAGGCTCCAGCCTTTTCTAGCTCCATGATTCTCTCTCCTATAGCACCCAAAACGCACACTGTGAAACAACACTTGGTGGGGTTTGGACTTTGAGATTTTTTTATTTGTGGGATATAAGAAAAACCAAGAAATTAAAGTCCTATAAAAACAGATTATTGCGAACATTTTCTGATTGGTTTTTGAGTAAACCGACAAAAACATGTGATAGAAGTTTTGAACAAATTTGAATGGATTTTTTGGACATTTTCATTAGCACTTATTGTGTAATGTAAATGAAATGCAGCCCAACTGTTGTATTTGACAGTTTTGATGTGATTGAGCAAGAGACAATTAAGTCATAGCAGAAAGAATATGAGTGACAAAAGTACAGATAGTACTTCAATTCAATGTATATCTGTATATCCCTAAATCATAAAGCCTAGCGTACATCGACAGAGGAGACAACTAGTTGCAAGGCGGCTTTTGGCAACTGAGAGGAGATGATGGAGATGATCAGTTGCCGAAATCGGTCGATGAAGCGCTCTTACAACTGGAGATAAACAGTCGGTCTCCAGTTTCAGTCAGTTGCCCGTGTTCTACTTTTCGGCAACTAGTTGTCCTCAGTTTCGGAGATATCACCCGATGTGCGCGCTCCATGCGCCGCTCCGACAACGTGTGTGTATTGCGAGCCCGCAACTGTTTATGTCAGAAAACACACTGTAGTTGAGGCCAGTTGCTGTCGATGAACGCGCTGTTATTCCCGAGACTGGTCTGATATTGGGAGTTGCCCGTTTTCGTCAGATTGTCGATGTGTGCGGGGCAGAAACTCATATGCGACGGATATAATCAGTTGCTAGTCCGATGTACGCTAGCTTTACAGTAGTCTTGGTTCTTAGTTTAGTCCCAAGTTAGTAAAAGTATAGACATTAGTAGCTATATAAATGAACTATGGTAAAAGTATTGCAATCGCTGCTTACTAAAAGTATGTTAATGCTTTTAGTAGCAAAGAAACTTAGCTACTACTTATTTGTATATACAGTATTGTGTGTGCTCCCTGTGTGCTCTTACTACTGTCCTGTCTGTGCGCTGCAACATTGAAATTTCCCCACTGTGGAACGAATAAAGGAATTCTTATCTTATCTTATCTTATCTTAAATGTACTACTGTATATGTACTAGAGTTTCGCTTTTCAGCCCGAGCCCGAGCAGCTGTCATTTGGGTTCGTGCCGGGCTCGGGCTTCTTTTTTTAAATATATGTTTCTTTTTTATTATTATAATAATTATTTTTAAATGATTTTTATACATAATGATTTGCATATATATATTAATAACAATGTCCGTTGATTGACAACAAGTTATTAAAAAAAGTGAATATATTAATGACACCGTAACCAGCGTGTCGTACAGCAGCAGCGAGCCATGAACGCATCATCCCCGTGTCTCCTGCTGCTGTGGTCAACAGCGAACAGGAACAATAGTAGAAATGGATCAAGTGGAGACAAAACAAATTCAAAAGTGGAGACTAAACTTGCAATTGGAAGGTGAGTGCGTACAACGGGAAATCAGATGTGTCGGGTTCTGTCGGGCTCGGGCCTGTTATACAGCGTTCATTGGTCGGGCTTATACGGGCTCGGGCTTAACATTAGCGGGCTCGGGCCGGGTCGGGCTTCATTTTTCAGGCCCGAACGAAACTCTAATATGTACTACTGTAAATGTACTACTGTATATGTACTACTGTAAATGTACTACTGTATATGTACTACTGTAAATGTACTACTGTATATGTACTACTGTATATGTACTACTGTATATGTACTACTGTAAATGTACTACTGTAAATGTACTACTGTATATGTACTACTGTAAATGTACTACTGTAAATGTACAAAAGAAACAACGGTCGTGTTTGTCTGCTCGAGAACTTTACAAATGATGCATGATGTAATTACATATTATGTAGTTTGTGGTATTAGTTGTCATGGAAACCCTTTTTTTTTTTTTGCTCTAACTTTTTGAGGGAAACTCTTTGTTTATTTTTGGCTGTTGTTTTATTTTTACTCTGAGCCCTGCACATGGTGGTGTGGTGTAATATAAGTATAATGCGTTTGTTGAATAATTGGAAGACCAGATATTTAAATTAGATATTTCAAGAAAGATTAAGATAAAAAGGGGAAATGTCTGTTGTTAATATGGCAATAAATTCAACGTTGGACTTAAGTTGAACGGGGGACATTTAAGGACAATTATTGTCATTTTTAAACATTTATGGACAGTGGTCGTCCCGCTCCCTTTGGACCAATGTCTTATGTGATAGTTACTATTCTCTGATCAGTCCTTTGGGACGACTGATGTTGTGATTTAGGGCAATACATAAATAAAATTAAGTTGAACTTAGAAGCACTGCTAACCACAATGACTTAATTCACTTAGGAGCTTGGCCAACCACTTCCAACATATCCTGTCGCCATCTGCAAAGTAAGTGTCATGAAATGTAAGAAGCAGAAAGTACAGAAAGTGCATTTGGGTTGGAAAGTAAGAAGTCAAAGTTGTCAGAATAATATGTAGTAAAGAAAAGTACTGGTAGCAGGAACATTTACTTATAATATTCAGTCACCTCTGGAAAAAAACATGCAGAATATTATTGAAGTGTTAACATGTTACTGTAAATATTTAATTCGATTCAGTTTATATTTACAACGGCCTCCTCAACAACAGATCAGAGAATCAAACAGTTAAAATGCAATAATATTATGCAATTATATTAAACACATAGTAGCCATTGGTCCATAGGGAACGCATGACCAGTGTCCATACATCTTAATCAATATCCATAAAGACCTTTAAATCTCCCTTGGTCCTAACTTTACTAAGACCCTCCTGCATCTGTAAGGAACGGCTCAAAAACCCAGAGGGAAAGAGCGCTGGGAGGCAGAGCGAGGACACCATTTACATTGATAACAAATGTTCCAATGACACCCAAAAACAGTGTCGGCTTCCACTTTCAGCCGGGAACTTAAAGTAGGCCAGAAATGTGCTCTCAAGATGCTGTAACGGGAGCCAGGCCTATTGTAATGCTGCCCATATAATGTTATGTAAGATGTTTTAAGAAGTCTCGCTGTCAGAGTCAGGTAGGAGCAAGTATAATAGATCTAATTCTAAGAGTCATCGTACTGGGTCACGCCGCGTATGTTTCTAGATTTCAGCAACAGAGGGATCTTTGACACCAACATAAACACGTGTAGAGTTACAAAAGCAACAACAGAGAAACTGCGGGGGAGAGAGGAAAAAACAGGTCGAGATCATAACAAGACTGAGGTGAGACGGATCTGTTTGTGTCTGTACCAAGACACTGTAAAGCAAACTTTCTAATTACAAATAGATTAGTGCGCTGTGATGTTGTTGTGTGGTCTTCCCAATGTAAACTCCCTCCATATTTTACTAAAGAGACTTGCGTGTTTTGTTTGTCTTTGGGAGATCCAGGAATTTGGCTTTGTGGGTAAGGCCAAAGCAGATCTGAGCGCAACAATGTCTAGAGAGAATACAGGTAATTGTTCATGTGTGTAGAATAAGCTTTGAGCCAAAAGTCCAGATGAAAAAGTTGGAAATGAAGATGGAATCGAACCCCTCCTTTGCTGCTCTGCCCTTGAGTTTTGCTCCAGCTCAAAGGCCCCTGATGTAGTCGTCAGTGCTATTATCAGTATTTGTTTTTGTTGTTTTGCGTGCGGAGAATTGCAGACCGCCAAAATGTTCTCCCGTTACACTAACAAGAGCTGGCCGGGCCGGTTCTGTGCTGTTGACGAACTTCATTGTTATGAGGAAGCCCCCAACTGGGTTATCTGTCCAACAGGCAATATGCTATAAGGGGGAGACAGGCTGGTGACTGCGACTTCATAATCTCACTGACTTCATACAAAAGAACGCTTTGAAAAGTGCCCTTCCCTTTTTTCTTTCTTTCTTCCAATTGATAATACAGTATGTCAAGCTCCAACATGTGGAACATACTAACACAATTGTATCCCACCTATTTTCAATCAATCAAAGTAACAATTTTGACCTGTGTCTACTTTAATCAATTATTTACATTTATATTTAGATTACCACTTTTAATTATTTTTGAATATCCCTAAATCACATCAGCAATTGTCAACAGCTACAGGAGCTATTGGTCCACAGGGGGCAGACGACCAATGACATCGAGTAATACAGTAATCCTAGACCAGGTGTCTCTAATCTTTTTCACCCAGAGAGCTACTTTCCCAAGACGAAAAAGTCAGAGAGCTACTTCTTTAAGCGATCCGGGGAAAAATGATATATTGGAGAGAGCGAGCTTGATTTCGGGCACAGTCATTATCATCATCACATATTTATGCACAATGTAAGTTTGCATTTACAATTAGTATGTTATTTGAATTGTTAATTTCTAAATCCTTTGTCGAGCTACCTGGAAGGGGGTGGCGAGCTACAGGTTGGAGACCCCTGTCCAGACCAAGACTGCAGGGTCCCAGCTTCACAAAGGGTTCAGCCATTTTCCATGCGCACCAGGGGAATCCTGCGGTGTGGGACCAGTTCCATGCATCGGGAACCCAGAACCCAGAAGGCGTCCTGGAGGCGTCCTGGAGATGTTCAAGAGGCACCTCTTCAGCACAGTCGGACAATTTCCTTGTTTTTACTTTCAATAGTTCTCAAACAGATTCAGTTCGAGCCGTATTTTAGACCGGAGCTTTAGAGAAAATATATAAATAATATATAGGGCTAAAAGTAAATAACTGGATAGTTGAAAGCCTGAGATATATACCTGTATCTTATCCTGCTGAGATCTAAAAAATCATCAGAGGAAAACTAGCAACTTATATTTTAATGGGACACAAACATTAGCTTTGTGGACGACCAAATAAGTCACATCTGTTGCTAATTATTGACAAATTCTAATGTTTTTCATACATGTGTTATTTGTCCATGTTTTATTCAGTCAGTGGTAAAGACATTTCTCAAAATAACAGCTATTTTTCTGCAGCTCTTGTGCTCCAAAAGAAGTAATTCTGAATATTCTTGACTGCAATAACAATACCAGAGATCCCTCAGAGCTGCACAAACAAGTAATGTTTTCATGAGCCGTGTTAAACATTTTCACGAGACATTAGAAGCGGCTAAAATGTTTTGCAGCCCTTCTTTGGATGCGCACTACAAAGTTTCAGTAACAATCTAAGCGAGATAAGAAACCTCCCCACAAAAGCTCAGGCCGTCCAGGAAAACAAAGGAGTTAGTGATGCTAAGGAAGGGGGATTAGTACCCCAATGGAACCCCCTGGACCCCACATCGCGGGGAAACCCAGCCATTCCATCAAATCTATTTACAAAACTCCATGGAGAAAATTGGGCCGTAGCAGTTAGCTTTTCCATTTGCGCCACACAGTAAAGACGCTGTTACGATAATTGTCCTCCTACACGAGCCGAGGGCGAACTCCGTACAGCGGGGGGAAAAAAGAGTAAAAAGTGCTGATCGGGAAAAGTGTGGGGTTCCACCAATATTCCCCAACACAAACACATTCACGGTTGAGTTTTGTCATTTTCTTGGCTCGGAGAAGTACAGTAGTTGGCAAATCTGTAAACCCTCTACTGATGGTTTGGATCACTGGTCGAGCTGGGGGGGTGGGGGGTTGGACCTGTCTGCAAATACTCAGTGACATCTATATAGTATATCAACATTGTCTGACGTGCGCACAGCCTTGGTAATGTTTGCTTTGCAGATGTAGTCTCCGGATCTCGAACGCATAAGAAGTGGTGTGGATACTGCACTGAACATCTGCTGGTGGTACAGAAGAGTTTTACTGCGTGTAACGTGTATGAGACAAACAAAGAAACTAAACCAAAGAAGTCATTTCTCATTGTGCTTTCGTGGAGCATTCCAGGGGGTCGTTGTATAAGAACAAGGGTCACAGCAAATCTAATTATTAAGAACAATCTATCAATATAGTAGAGAAAATGTTGGAGCGGGCTCAGCAGAAAAACATGGCAAAAAGTGAAAGCCCCAAAAATGTGGTTGTTACGAGGAGGGAGAGAAAAATCTGTCTTTACAATCCCCCTGTTTCCCCTTGCCAACTTTCTTCTGGCTGTTGGTAGTGCGGAAATGAGAGCGTGCTAGATTCTCCCCTCACGAGAATAACACAAACCCCTCAAAGCTCAAATCAAACACACAATCCACGTCACAGGAAACCATTTTGAAGCGTAAAACCTCCCAATGGGAGCTCCATTTGAATGCTGCGGGTATGCACTGCCTGGTTCGCCCCCTGTGCCCCCCCTCCAGCGCTCAGAGCTCCACCACAACCTAACCCAAACCACTCCACCTCGCAGACGACAACACTCCCTTTCTTTCCCCTCTGCTCCACGTCCATTTACGCCTTTCTTTCCGCTCTGTTGTTGTTCTGCTTTGTCTCCCTCCGAGTTTAAAGATGCAAAGATAAAGAACGTGGAACCTTTCATGAGAACCGCTCTCTGCACCTTCACCAAGAGGCCGGACTCTTTCAGGAATTCAGAAATGTCTTTGTAGCGGATTTCATTAGATACGATTTCAAACATGAAATAAAAAAGTGCATTACTATATATCTAGATTTGAATATTTTAGACCTAAACATATACATAGGTTTATATGATTATCATATGTTTTTCCATGACCTTTGCTTCATTCTTTTCATAATCATTAAAACAACAGAACGTTCCTAACTTTAAAACCATGAAACAACGTTTTAACGAAAACCTTTGAATTATTTCCACGCTCTCAGCTTTGAGGACCACCCTCACTCGGCCAATCAGCTCCCAGCCCAAAGGGTCAAATAGTGACTCACAGGGCACTTTCTTTCAAGTATGCAAAAGATTGACATATTTTCTAATAAGATAAAGACGAATTGGTTCACATCATTTTAATTTGTCCTAACTTTTATGTAGAGACAAACAAAATGTAGAAACTATTGCCCAGACTTAACGGTAACCTAAATACTTCATTTTCATAAATTCTATTTAAACCTGTGTGTAAAACCTTTAGATTTATAAATGTGAAATTTACTTTCAGCACTATGGACGTTCTTTGACCCATTTTTAGTGTTTTTAAATATAAATGAAAGCGTGTAACATTGTGGACGTGGCATTCCACAAAGAAAAGGAAAGTAAAAATCACACTAAATGTAAAATTGAAACGGATTAATTTAAATCCACACCATGTGAGAAAGTTATTTATGAAGCTACATAAACTTAAATCAATTCAAAATATCATAACAACAAAAGCCCCATTTCCACCAGCCCTACTTGGCCCTTCTCTACTCTACTCTAATCCAATCTACTCTACCTGGTTGTGCACTATGGCCGATCTCAGAACACTTTAGTACCAGCTCAGCCTGGGTAGAACTGGGACCAAGCAGGTATAAACAAGTACCTGGTACCAGTCAGACAGTGCCGGTGGAAACGCTCCCAACCAGGCCGGAGTAGAGTAGAGTAGATCCAAGTGGAGCTGGTTGAAACGGGGCTAAAGACTTGTGACGGAGTGTGTTTTTGACAGACACAAGTACTCAAGTGACCTCTGCCGCCCGCCCCCCACCTCCAGCGGCTCCAAACCTCTTCCTCCTCCCCCCGCACCCCTCAACCCGGTTTCCTCCCCTCAGCCTGGCAGTTGAAACGCAAGGGGTCACCGGGGCAGATGGGAGGCAATCACAGTAGTTTGTTTTGGCTCTGAATTCACCACACCAAGTCCTTGGCTGTGTCAGAGCTGTGCCGCCACCTTGCCTGCTCCCTGCCTGGGAAACAAACACATCTTTAATCACCCTGAGGCCCCACACTATCCACCAAGGCCACACAGTTGAGCCCCTACATTTGGAGCCCGTCAAGATCCACCGGGGGCAAAAACGAGTCAATCAACGTCTACGGACAAGCTCCAGCCCAGACAGTCACATCCAGGTCACTCACGGCTGCGGATGTCAACAATGTTTAGGGGAAAAGAGAGAAAATTTCCACGAGACTTTGGCCGCGAGGAGGTAACAGGGTGACGGGTTGTTGTCGTTTAATTTGGAGCAGAATTTACATCAAACCTGGAGAAACAAATTTTAAAACCACAGGAAAAAATATATACATTTTTTTTTTGTCTTCTTTTAAAATAGAAGACATCCTTTATTCGTCCTGCATCGGGAAAAATTTAGTGTTGCATCACCAGTTACAGAACAGTAGGAATGAGGAGCACACAGCACAAGATAGAAGAAAAATAAGTCTTTACTAAATAAAATAAAATAAAATCTCTAACTCTAGCTTCAAAATAAACAGGTATACAATTTCTATCTTTAGCATAATGTATTCAAAAGCTCTGACTTTAGCATATAAAACAAGTATAAAATCTCTATCTTTATCATTAAAAAGAAACAAGTAAAAAGTATAAAGTACTGTAGTTTATTGTACTGTATTTTATCACTATTTTGGCCTCTAGATACAGCCTTCACTCAGCAGTACATATCAGTACATAAAAGAAAATATGTTTTGTTGATGAAGACACATGGACTGGTCTCATTCTACCACTGAATGTTACTTAAACAAGACTCTTTCTACAGGACAGATAACAAAACGTTAGAGGCTACAATCCAGTGGTTCTCAAAGTTCCCCTTTGTTGGTGGGGGGTATTTTGCAATTTATCTGACTCAAAATGTAAATATTAAGCGATCGCAATATTTTTGCATGATTTGATTCTTCCAGTTATTTTGAATTTTAGCTTTTTTTTGGCTTCATTTTGGAACGATGGCTTCTCAAAACTCCAAAACCATTCTTTCAGTCTTTATTTTTCTGTCTAATCTCACAAGAATGATTTGCAAGTTCTTGAGGCACGTGTTCTTGTCCCATCTCTAGTTAATAAATAATCACGTTCAGTCAGTACGAATGCTGCAAGCGTTTTATGGTGCCAGGTTTCCTCAAAGAAAGTGTCTAAAGTAATTTATTACACTATAAATCTTTATAATAATTCTAAATAAGGATTACTGCGGAAATTGGAGATTTTCATTGGTTCATTAGCTATTGTTCATTTATCTTGTGTCGTGTGCTCCTCATTCCTACTGTTCTGTAACTTATCATGCAACACTGAAGGTTCCCCTCTGTGGGACGAATAACAGATCTCTACATCTTAATCTTAACATGGTTGACAACGGGAAAAAAATATAAAGATATCATTGATTGCTTGAGTATTTTCTCCTCACATGAACTAAAAAACCATTTACTATACACAAATCTGATAAACTTGAGTGTGAGCTTAAGCGTGTCTTTCCTTGTCTGGGGAAACTTGTCCTCTGCATTTGACCCTTCCTTAAATGCTCCTGGAAGAACCTGTCAGGATTAGATATCACTACAATGTAGTAAAGCGCCTGGGGACCATCTCCAGACCGTGAGCCAGGCTTTGGTCAGGACTGCCATAGCTGAAGGAGTCTGGAGCCAAGTGAGGTTCAGCCCAGTTGAGGTTTTGTGAGGGAATCCAGGCCACACAAGTCCAGCCATGGGGCGTTGAAAGTGTGATCTATCTCTGGCCGGGGCCAGTGCTTCTGTCATGATGTCGGCGATGTGTTGGCTGACACTGGGATGCTCTGACGCAAGCGTTGCGCAGCTGAGGGCTGGCAAAGGAGCAAGATGGAAGACAGGAGGGGAAAGCACTTCCTAAAAGAGCCAATAACAGCCATTGTGAGCAGACGTAATGAGATGAGCTGCCACTAACCGAGTGCCATTAATTCTCTATGACCCAGAAAGACAAAGACCCAATTCTTGTTCATCATTCGTCTGAACCCGAACCTTCAGTATTAGATTTATCTGAAAAACAGATTAAAAAGATTTAATACTGCAAACTTACACACATTTATTGGCATTCCAGAACAATTTATGTGGTCGCAAACAGAGTTCATAATTCAACTAAAGGAAATTCTTATATGTATCACCAACTTTTGTGGTGGAAGATTCTCACACTGCTCGTCTCCATGGAGGCTGATTGCTTGTGTGGTTCTAGACAGATAAAGTAAGAGTGTGCTTACACAAGGACACTGTGAGACAGTGAGTTAGCAAAAATCACATAGTGCTTCGTCACCTGATCTCTAAGTCTGTCCGATTAGTGCCCTGTCCCACAGCCTGAGAAAAGACTCTCATTATTTGAACATCAGTCACACCATGAATGGAGGGGCCATACTCGACTCAAGAATGTATTTGTGCAACTGAGAATGTTTGTGTGTAAACAGATAGTAATAAAGATTTTACGGCGCCTACACCAGGGCCTGTTTGACAATGCTAGCTAAGGCGTGGTTTGAGATCTGTATTATATTATAAACCACAACATTCTCAGACCTTTAAACCCTCTCATTTTGGGGCCCTATCAGCAAGAACACACTGTGCACGGCCATTTCTCCCTCTTCAGACTTTTAACCTTAAGGTGGTGCTCAGTGGCTGATATAAAGCGATTAGTGCTCCTGGTTTGATTGTGGTTTTGAGAAAGAAGCACATGGGTGTTTCTAAGAAATGAAGTCTCTCAATCTCCCAGGCTCTGGCTGTGCACTTCTTAAGGATAGGTGAAGTGTATCCTGGAGGCAAACAGCAGCGATGGACCCCACATGATCCTCATCCAGCCCACCTTGAAGTTAATAGTGGGCAGTATATTACAAAGCAGGTACATGATGCAGTGAAGCAGAGACTTCCAAGAAGTCCAGCATCAGGGATCAGGCTGTTATTGAAATGGCGGAGCGTAGAGCCAGAGTCCACCGCAGAGGGAATCAAGTATCTGTGCGTGATCCGCTCTCAAGCTCTGCAGTCCAGATGGGTGGCCAAGCCCCAGTAGATTTTGTTATTCTGTTATGACAATTGAACTCGTTTGAACCATTACTCCGCTCTTTCTCTCTGAAACACACGCACACAGGATGCTCCAGACTCGCTCGTCCCACTGCATCAACATGTTCATATGAAAGCACTGTATGTCACTGTGTTCCCAACACCTCCATCGCATGTGCTTTAGAATCATCTTGTTTGTTTGTAATCCAGTTCAAAAGTGCTTGAGATCGAGGGTTGAGAGAAAGTGCTGTGCCTAAAGACAGATGAAGGTCTGTGTCTAAAGTCTGCTCTGTGAGAATGACCCCACACTGGACTAAGATTACATAATGTGCCATTTCAAGCCTAATTGCCTTGTATTCAACGCTCTTGTAAAACTGTGTGGTTGTGAATGACCACTGCGTTTTGTCTTTCATATTTGATATTGTGTGTACACATCAGTGATGTAAAGCGGTTTAGGAGGAAGTAAATGTTTGTGTCACAGCTGGCAGTGACAAGGACCACCCACTGGGAGATACTGTGAGGTGACTGGAGATATGCTAAGCAGTGACATGACACTGTAGCTCTTCCG